CCGCCGTCGTTTTCGGACTAACCAGCACTAACAGCGCGAGCGATTTCGCGTCCCCCGTGTCTGTCTGTGTGTTTGTTTACTAACCGGCGAAAAACCGACTCGTCTAACTGTCGAAACTCGGTGTGCACGGCTCCGTTATTGTTTCACTGACTAACCGTCGAATGCTGGGATGGTTTCCGGCTGTTCCACGCATCTCTGTCGCGGGGTCTGTGTTAGTGGGTCTCGTACTACGGATTGTCTCGATAGAGAGAAAGCGTTTGCTCCTCCTGCATTTTGGCTGTTTTGAGGTGGTCTGCGTTAGGGTCATTGTTGTTGAGGTCGTGCTTGTTAGGTCATTGTTTAGTGAGGTCATTGCTATCGAGCTGTAGGGCTTTGTTGCTCGGCATCGAGGTCATTGTTTGTTGAGGTCGTTGCTTGTTTAGGTCATTGTTTAGTGAGGGTCATTGCTATCGGTTAGGTCGTTGCTGGGTGAGGTCATTGTTAGGAAAGGTAATTGTTGGGTTAGGTCATTTTTGGTTTGGTCATTCTTGGGTCTCGTAGCCAATTAGAAGAGGAGAGAGTTTTGTCGAGTTGGCTGAGAGAAGATGGTTGATCTCAATATGTGACAACGATTCACTAACGAGGGAATTTGGCACAAATCGAACTCGAACTATCGTGGTGGTGATGATTCTATAATGCCACCTGTAACGTACCCTGGACAGGTAATCATGGATGCGGTGAAGCTGTGTGTAGGTGTAGCTATCGAGCGTAGCGCATGCACGTACCGTGAGAAGTAGTAGGTCTCAGGGGAGATGTGATATGCTAATTGGGCCATTATTTGAGTGTGTCTGTGACATATATCAGAACCTAAAACCCGTATCTAACCCTACTATCCCTTAACCCTCAACCTAACCATAATCGTAACCCCTAAACATAATTCTACAATAAAACAAACATTAGCAAAAAATAATAAACAATAAATAAGAGGACAAAATTAAGGCCAATCAGAGCCGTCCCTAGCGGATCACTATCTCTCCCTTTGTGAGACAATTTGTGAGAAAGCATGTGCAGTCTCACCGTGCTAGTTGGCAAGTGTAGCGAATGCATGGAGCGATTGCTTGAACGATCACCATGTTATCTGGCAAGTGTAGCGAAGTCGCGCTGTGAATGCATGGAGTAAATGCTTGGAACTCTCACCGTGTGATGTCTAGCCAGTGTAGAGTGTGATTGCACGATCTCATATCCTTGTAGTTGGCAAGAGAGGCGATTGTTGCCGTAGTGAAGTGTCACAAACCCCACGATCGTTGTCATCCGTGACCTTCCGTCACCGTCGTACGAGTTGCTTGCTTGTCGAGTTATCACCCCTGGCATCGCAGATTGTCTTGTCACCAGCTTTGTCACTGTGGTTGTTGTCACCCTGGCTGCGATTGTGCTTGTCACCAGCTTTGTCACTGTGGTTGTTGTCACCCTTTGGCTCGGCGATTTTGCTATGTCACAGCTTTGTCACTGTGGTTGTATGTCACCCTGGCTTGCGAATTGTGCTTGTCCACCAGCTTTGTCACTGTGGTTGTTGTACCACTGGCTGCGATTGTGACTTGTCACGGCTTAGTCACCACTGTGGTTGTTGTCATCCTGTAGGGCTATGTGAAGGTGTAGTGTCGTGTGTTGCGTCGCTGGCGTCATGCGTGCTGCGTGCGTGCTGCGTGCGTTGCGCGCCGTGGTGCATCTTGATGGTTTGTGTGATGTTGTCAGCTTGTGTCATGTGTCGCGCTTGTCGTTATTCTCTGTTTGTATGGCAGTGTTGCGTTTTCGTTAGGATCGTCGTGTAGTATTGCTGGTTAGTTCGCGCTTTTCGATTCTTTACCAATTTCCTCGAAAGGCAGCACTGCGTTTTTCTTTCAGATTGTTATGGAGAACCGACGCTAAGGAGATGGTATTATAGAATGTCTTCTTGCACTATGCTTCTTTAGGCTGCATGCATTAGTTGTGTGGCGAAGCGAATGTCTCGTAGAATACCACTGCTACACGAACGTGTTGGTATGCTAATAATTTGTTGTGATCGAGTTGATAATATTGCACGAAGCAGATATCCACTATCTCATTCAAAATTCCTAGTGAAAGGTCATTCGCAGCATGCATGGATATATAATATGGCGGTAGGCTTTCAAAAAGTCAGTGGTTTACTTTACATACAATATTTTGGCGCATACAGATGTTAGATAAACACGTGCTTGCCTGTGTGGTTTGGATTGAGATGTTCTGCTCGGTTAGGTACTAGTTGTTGTTGTTGTTGTTGTGTTGGTTGTGGTTGTTGCCTACAGTCATTCCTCTTGTAATTTGTGTGGCGGGTGGTTTCGTGCACCATCGATAGAAATCCGTTATTATGATAACACTATAATTGGATTCTTGCTGTGCAGTTACATCTTGTAGAAAATGTCAAAGCGCAATCAATAAACAATTAACATGTATTCAACGATTTTCAGTCGACATGTTAAAAGGTAAAAATTAACAATATGCCGGAGCTTCGTTAAATAAGCATTACAGCGTGCCTCGCACATGCAAGCAGAACGTTGCCGAGTTCACATGAACGAGAACACGACAACTAACTTCTTGTTTATTGATTAAAGCTGGATGTAGCAGTATTTACCATGAAATCTACTAGGAGGTTTGCTGACATCACTCTTAGGTACTGATTTCCTCCTTCATGTACAAGATAATATTATTCAATTCTAGGGAGACAGAATGGAGCAGCTCCTTCCCACTCATATCGATAATTTTTGCACAAATGCTTCATATAAAAATGGTATCACATCAAACAGTACGACGTTCTTAAGTGAAATAGGGTTTTCACGATGAAGATGATATACTTAAATGAACTTTTTAAAAAAGTAGCTAACACACTGACGTACAGATCTCGACCTGATCATCTATAAATCACGAACTCTTACCACATGGGCACAGGTGATTACCTGTCTCGTATTCAAAAAACCCCATTAGCCCTTGTATTGCAACATCGTCTGTGCTCTCCAGCGTGGCTTTAGCTTATGGTTGATTTCGTTTAACTGACGTTGATACTTGTTCAAACAATTGATTTGTATATGGTGTTTGTTTGTTTGTACTTACTGGTTGTTTGTTTGATTGCAGCTGACTGACAGCACACCGGTTTGACAGTAGAAGAAAACTGCAACAGCGCTGTCATAGCATGAATCCAGCGCCTTGGATCGTCAAATACTCGCACTCCATAGGGACTATTCCAATGAACACCATGCTTATATGCTCACATGCCTCTCAAGAACAATGCCAACCGAACAGATCGTACGAGGCACGAGGAGACAAAGGTAGGGAGAGGGGCCAGGAGAGAGAGATGGAGGGGAGAGAGGAGAGAGAAGAGAAGAGAGAAGAGAGATAGTAGAGAGACAGACGAGCAGAGAATTAAGTGAGGCGAGAGAGAGACCCGAGGGCAGATCAGGTGGGAATATAGACAACCGAGCATGACATGGAACATGAGACGACAGAATGTGAAGACTAGGAGAGCGAGAGCACGAGGGAGAGCGGACAGGGAGAAGAGAATTGCGAGACGAGAGAAGAGAGAGGAGGACGACGGCAAGCGCGCGTGAGAAGCGAGACAATGGGCAATGAAGCTTGAAATCAAATCCAAATATGTATCCAGCCACACTACGCTACACACAACATCCCAGTGGCTTACCGCGCGATACTTGGTGCTATTCCAGCGAAAACTGTTTGCGCGTAGAACATCAGAACCGAAGGCAGGGCCCCCCGCAGACGAGTAAAGTCAACAGCACGAGAACTCACACAAATGGAGTCAAACTCAGCTCTCCACATCCACGCCAATATAGCGGATCACCAACCAACAGTACGGCACACCCTACGAAGCACCGCCGCCCAACGCAGACAACACACAGTGAATAGATCCTCTTGCAATGCGAATTGATTTCGCCCCCGAGATCATCGCACCTGTATCGCGGCGGGAATTTACTGTTTCGTTCGCGCTGAGCACAACTGAGTTCTTCTCCGAAAACCGCTTGTACGGACATATTGCATCAAATCTACTCGGTACCCGGTAATTAATTCATTTATTCATTATTAAGGTCATTCTATCTTAATTGCAAGTAGTTAAATTACAATAATTATTTTAAGTACTCTTCATCTCATAAAACTGTTAGTTTATTTAGGTTTTCGAATATGACCTAAATGTTGATGCTGATTATGTTCTTTAGATATCTACGCTATCGAGTAATATCTTTAGATGCTTACGTAATCCTGATCTTTGGATCGTTAGATTCTGATATTATCGTTTCTCATCATCTTTGGATGTTGAACTAATCATGAAGTTATCGCTAAGACAATACGCAAACATGATATTATTATTATATTATTTATATTATTATATATTATCGCCAATTCATAGGATAATGTTCGCTAACAGTGAGTTGTAAAAAAATACACAGGGAGCTCGGGGCGATTTAGCCCGACAACTGACCAAACAAGATGCCACCGGAAATTTGCATAGAAGGGTCAATGCAGCAACAAATTGAGCAGAGTGCTATTTTCATGCACGCGAGCTCGAAAAGTAGCCCTCGAAAAATAAATTTTACATTTTTTCCCTGATGGGTAAGAGTTTGTGGATAAACATGGTGCGATTGTATGAAATTTTATTTCGTGCAAATTTGTCATTTTATAAATATGGTCTCGTAAACAGCGTGATAGTCATTCAGCAGGTGTGCCTGCCAGGTAGACAGCAGCTCGTTAACAGGTGTGGTTCGTTAACCGCAGGTGTCTGCGGCTGCTGCTGGACCGCGGGGCAGACGCCGCGATGCAGGTCGCCAACGGGTGTCCCTGCCAGGTAGACAGCAGCTCGTTAACAGGTGTGGTTCGTTAACCGCAGGTGTCTGCGGCTGCTGCTGGACCGCGGGGCAGACGCCGCGATGCAGGTCGCTAACAGGTGTACCTGCCAGGTAGACAGCAGCTCGTTAACAGGTGTGGTTCGTTAACCGCAGGTGTCTGCGGCTGCTGCTGGACCGCGGGGCAGACGCCGCGATGCAGGACGCTAACGGACAGACGCCTCTTCACCTTGCCGCGTCCGCCGGCGCCCTCGAGTGTGTGAAACAGCTACTAATGGCGGCGCCAGCTGCGTGCATAGTGAAAGACAAGGTAGGAGAGCAGTGTTCACTGAGTGGGAGGGTGGGGGTGGCAATAGGTTTTTAGAAAGGGGGTGGGAACAAGGTTTAATGGGAGGGGGAGGGGTGTGAATCATGATACTCGGGCAGATGTGAAGAGGGAGGGTGTGCTTTGGTGAGAATTAGGGATCATTGTTCGGTGGTGTATGAATTGAATGGCATTATTTGTATTATGTCGAATCGTGTCAATATTTGGAAGTAATGGGATCAAGAATAACTTTCCAATAACTCGGATCAAAAACATACAATGTTTTAAAGAACAGGAAGTACAATAGGGTCGAGATTTAAAACAAATAAAGCTAGAATTATCTAAAATTGTGAAAGAAAAAAAACCCGGTGTATACATGTACATGAAGACGAGATAGAGGGTTGAAAGCAATGTGTTGCCGTCGCTAACGCTTCTCGCTATCGTCACAGGAGGGCGCCACTCCGCTGCACTCGGCGATACAGGACGACCAGCCGGAATGCTTGGAGGTGGTGATTCGGCGGACGAAGCAGCTGCCGCTGTTCAGCGCTCACGCACCCTGGCATCGCAAGTCCCCCGACAAGTACGTGTGAGATTGCGAATATGTGAAGATCGCGATCGTGAAGTACTTACTAATGATGACGATGTGTAAGCTACTGGTCATTACCTCCGCCCAACGCAGTTGGAGGAGGTTATGTTTTCGCTCTCGTGTGCGTGTGTGCGTGTGTTCGTGTGTTCGTGTGTTTGCGCGATCGATATTAGCGCGTCAGCCAGCGAGCCAGCGAGCGTGTACATGTGAGCGAGCAGCAGCAACGAGCGGCTGCTACGAGCGAGCGAGCAGCAAGCCAGCAAGCCAGCGTGTACATGTCAGTACGCTGGCGTATATCGTGGGTTATTCGTGTATTCGTGAGTCGTATGGCGTATGTCGCTGGCGGAGGTATGCACTCTCCGTGAGTGCACTCTGTCTAGTTTTATTTTGCGTTTATGATGTGCGCGTACTATGAAGTTGCAATTGTAAATATGTTAACAACTTCAATTTTATATCGGCGTATGCTATTTTGGCCAAATTTTACTCGCAAAACCTATTATCTATCTATCTGTCTTTCTGTCTGTGTGCGTATCTATTTTAGTATCTATCCATCTATCTATCTAACTAACTATCATTCAATCTATTAATCTATTTTTCTATCTATCTATCTAATTATCTTTTAATCTATCTATCTTTCCACCTATCTATCTATTTATCTAAGTACGTAACACATACTGTACTAATTCGTTGTATGGCGCCCCCTATTGACATCTTCCGGCACTAGAAAAGAATGTCCTAGTCAAGTTCCATCTTGCACCATTCCATTTCGGAGACTGCAAGCCCTTTGCTCCTCTTCCAGGTTCATTCCGTATCGGAGTCCATATCGGAAATCGCCCGAGAAAACGGCCGTGAAACAGCTGAGCGTCTCTGACTCGACGACTCCCGCGTCGCGCCGCTCGCCAGAGAGAGCGCCCTCTATTGGCGAGCTCGTCGACAACAGCGGCAACACGATGACACACATAGCGGCGCGGCTCTCCTCCAAGGTAACAACCATGGGGTGACAGTGGCTCCATCTATAGGCTCTCAGGGATAACAATACGAATGTAATGCCTCACGGTTATGGTGTGAGAGATTTATGCTTCTTATACATATTGGTGCGTGCCCGTAGCCGTCGCGTTGCGGGCGTGAACAGAATCCTGGTTGTCGGTGCGTGGCGGCGTTATATTTAGAGGAGCAATGGGAGAACACGACCGCTCTAAAGGTTTCTTATGAGTGACATTAACACATGGCGTTTGAATTGGGACATGTATACACACACACCATCATATATATCATGCTTGTAGTATGCACAAGTAACACGTGCACACCGGGCACGGCATGGCACACACACGTGCATGTCTGTATTATGAGTAAGGAGTGTCTGAGGTGCTCGTGCTCACACACGCACGTACGCAACACCACGCACACACACGTAACCATGTCTGTTATATTAATTATTACAGAAGTGTCTAGACGGTGCCTTCCATGCTCACTTACGCACGCATTCACACACGGATACTATGTCTGTATTTATATTATTACAGGCAGTGTCTATGAGGTGCTTCTCGCTACACGCTACCGAACACACAAGTACATGTCTGTATATATTATTACAGGAGTTTCTAGGGCCGTGCTTCATGCACACACACAACACACCTAATGTCTGTTATTATAAATTATTACAGTTCCCTGCTGTCGAGAGGTGTTTATGCACGCACACACGCACGCAACACACGTACATGTCTGAATAGTATAAATTATTACAGGGTGTCTAGAGCGTGATTCATGCACACACACACACACAGTACATGTCTGTTATAATTATTACAGGAGTGTCTAGAGGCTGCTCATGCACGCCACACGCACACAACGTACATCGTCCTGATATTATTTTATTACAGGGTTGTCTATTTAGGCTCGCCTTATGCACCACGCAGGCACCACGCACACACGCACGTCACGCACACGTATCGCAGGCACCCACCCGCAGCATGTCTGGTTTAATTAATAAGGCAGTGTCTAGAACGGTGCTTTATGCAAACGCACACCGCACACATCACACACGTACATGTCTGTATATAATTATTACAGGAGTGTCTAGAGGTGCTTCATGCACGCACACACGCACACACACACACGTACATGTCTGTATATAATTATTACAGGAGTGTCTAGAGGTGCTTCATGCACACACGCACGCACACACACGTACATGTCTGTATATAATTATTACAGGAGTGTCTAGAGGTGCTTCATGCTCACAACCTCGTGCGTCTCGAAGATCGCTGCAAGGCTGGACAGCGCCCCCTGGACATCGCCTCGCCAACCTGCCGAGAGCTGCTCAATGACATCGGTGCGTGCGATGCTCATGTGTTTAACACATAATTTTTACACAATCTAGATTTTGTTGTAAATAGATCGCAGCACCCTTCCCATCTGCCGACGCAAAGCTCCAATTTATTATTCATTTTTATCAACAATAAATTACAATAAAATTATTTTCTCGAGCGCGTAAGCTTGTGTTTATCGTCGCTAGATGGCAGCACCGTGTTTTTGCGCTTGCAGAGAGCAGCGAGGATCGCGTCTGCGTCGTTGCCATGGAGCTCGACGACACGGCGTCCGGCGGCTACTCCGACACAGCCGTCGTCGTCGGCACGGTGACGGTGAGTGGCGCCACCACGTGGCCTGTTCTCGAGGACGCGGTGCGCAACCTGGTGGTGGCGCACTTTGGCGCCGTCGGCGACGGCGTGCGGAATCGCCGCGCGAACAAGAGCGCATCCGATAGCGCGGACGCGGGAGGAGGAGGAGAGGGGGAGGTCGTGGGTCTCGGACTGAGCTTCGACAGCGTCAGGGAGTGCGCCATCGGTAAGTAACAGCCAGAGATGGGCGAGGGGGGTGTAGGATTAGGAAGTAACAGCCAGAGATGGGCGAGGGGGGTGTAGGATTAGGAAGTAACAGCCGGAGATGGCGAGAGGGGGTACAGAATTAGTAAGTAACAGCAACAGTTGAAACTGGAGACTGTTTGTAAGCCGTGTGGAAGTGTCTTGTGATTGCAATGTCGTTTCGAAAACATTTCCAAAGATGCGATTGATCACTTGATTTATTAGTCACGTTTTTTTCGTCATCGTTAGTAGTCATTAGTTATGGTTTTCGTTTAATCCGAAGCCATCAGTTAAACCGACGTACATCGTGGTAATCAGACGTAACTCTTGAAGCGTAATTAATGTAATTAATTAAGTGTAAATTGGTGATTATACGTGTAATTTACAATAAAGTAAAAAAAAATAT